ATCAACAATGTGCGTATTGTCCGTCAGCCAAAGATGGAGTACGCCTTTTTCTCCATTCTCGGAATGTACCGGCAGAGTAACGAGAATCACATTCCTCTTATCATCGACACTGTCAAGACTCGCTGTGATGAACCCGCTTCCAACGCCCTTCTCATGTCGCTTTTGGTTGTTGCCCCACACGCGCGAGAGTGTCCCGAGGGCCTCCGTCCACGAATCCCCCTTGTCACCGGACTCGTACACCCTGCGGCGGCCATCATCACACGCAGTCATCATCATGAGTTTTCCGTCCTTCCGCTCCACGACGGAGGGATCACTGCAGCCATCGGCAGACATCCCCTTCGACAGCTTCCCACTCGCAGTGTCTGAGGGGTATATGATCAGCGAAACGGTCTTCCCATTATTCTTCGTGCCTTCCACGGGAAACACAATCGTACCGTCCTTCATCTGAACACCCGATCCACCGCTGCCAATCAGCCGTGTCAAGGATTTGTGTTGTTTTTCAGAATCAGTCCACGGGATAACGGAAGCATCGTTCCAATAAATTTTTTTTTTACCGCTGCTCCCATCATTACTGACGTTTCCCACAGCCACCAAAAGTCCCCATTTAGCTGCTGCAGCTGTGTTACCAGCTGCCCTATCAGTAACTTCAAAACTGTAGGTTCCAGCGAAAATGTAAATATCACTCCCATTCACAACTGTTGTTGGCCGGCTGACACGCACTTTTGTCCGGCTTTGGGAAGCCTTCTGATCTCCTGTTTGGGAGGCACAACCCTTATTTCCGGCAGGACATTCCTCCAGTACTTGTGTCTTCAGTTTAGTTGTATCCAATTCTCTTGATTCTTTATCGGTCCACTCCAGGAGCTCCGAGGCAATCCCAGTAAAATTGCTTCCTCCCTCCTTCAACTGCGCCTCGGCAACGGCAAACACGCCACCATCCATCTCAACAAGAACTGGAACATGGAGCGAATCCACTGTTTCTCCTTCTTCCTTATCTCTCCAAGCAAAAGATGGACTCGGTGAAGATTCCTGACCTGACGATGGTCCAGCAGCTTGCGCAGCCTCACCACTGCCGCAGCACATCATCACGACAAATAGGAGCAGCACCGCGGAAGTAAACACACGCCGCGACATGTTGGGCCTCTGCGGCTCACTCTCTCTTCCTTCCCTCCTCCTTCCGCTGGATCCGGTCACGCGGCGACGGTTGTGTGTGCGGGGTGCCTTCACTGCAGCAACACGTGAGAGCATATAAATATGTGTGTGTGGGCGGTGTGTGTGCTGTTGGTCCTTTCAGTGCCTTCGAATTTCACAGTAGCGTTTAGCGCTTGCTTTCTTTCTTCATGTGTAATTGAGAAAGAAAAATATAGAGGGAAAAAATACCAATACAAAAAGTACAACAGTAACAATCGCCATCCACAGTGAGTGGCACCATCATCCCGCCGCAGTCACTCCCAACAACAACAACTCACGCACACAGACACACGGAACGAGAAGGAAGAACAGTGCACCGGGAACACACAGCGACTGCCACCACCAGCAGCAGCAGAAAAAGCAGGTGCTTCGTTATTCACGCGTCAGCACACACAGAGCGACACCCACACACAAAGCAACAACAGGCGGGATGCAAAGCAGCAAAACCGCCCTTTGCAGCAATAAAGCGCTGCCGCCAGTCCTTTTACTGTTGCCGCTCCCCGCACCAGCTCCTCAACCGCCATAGCCGCACATCAACCCGCACAGGCGAAGAATCCCCGTCGGCAAATTCAAAGCAAAAGAGACACTTCGGCACGTGCAGCAGATGGCGGGAAGCAATCCGCACTCGCCCAAGGCACCCTCAACACCACTCACCGGTTGCACGCCGCCAACATCACACCTGCAACACGTCGAAAAGACATACCGCATTCTCCCGATCTCCCTCCTCGCGAGGGCCGCCGCAGCCAGACCTTGTGCATGTGTACGGCATAGCATGTCTGTGTGGACTTGTGTTTTTGTCAGCGCCTATACTTGCAAAGCAGCTGTGCGGCACAAAAGAGTCCAAAGAAAAGCAATGACAGAGTGGGAAGTGGATAGCACAGACGCAATTTTACTTATATCATTACACACACACGCAGCCCGCGGAATGAGTGCACTCAACCACAACACAAGTAAAACAATGAAAGAAACAAACAAAGCCGAAGCGTGGGACGACCAGCGCACACACTCTCATTGCTCCCGTAAAGCAAAACACACACACAGGGAGAGAGAGAGAGAGAGAGGTCGCCCACTCAATGCAATAAAAACAAAACAGAAACAGTTACGGTGCTCCGCCCATGCAGCCAGGCAGGACGGCAGCGGTGCGTGTCGTGCAAAAGAGAGCACCAACGGGCCTGCATGGGTGTGCATGCATATATACAATGGGCACATTATGTGTGTGCTTCGTGGGATGAGGTGAGGGCGAGAGTCCATGCAAGGGGACACACACAGAAAGTGAGAGAGAAAGACGAGTGTGTGTGCGGGCGGTGCACGGCTCTCTCTCCCTCACTCTCACGCGGCCACCACCGCAGCAGCAGCCGCACACGCAACAACAATAAGAAGCAAAAGAGGGGAGGTGGTGTGGAAGGCCGCGGTGCTGCCGTCACTGTCGCCAATCTTTGTCGTCGTATCATTTGTGTTGGCGGTTCCTGTTGATTGGGGTGATGCCTCACTCATTTTGACGGTGCTGCTCTCACCAACGTCAGTCGGTGTAGTGGAACTTGTTTGAGTGGTAACGGCGGGTGCGGCTGTGGAAGTTTCCCGAGGTTGTTCCAAGAAAGGAGTGACATTTTCACGTTCCTGCCCCTCTTCTGACGGTGCGGCATCAAAAGTTTCAGTACTCCCCGGAGTATCTTCTGTGCGTTCCCCACTATTACTGCTGACAACATCGTCGTTACCTGAAGGAGATGGTGGATCAATACTCTGTTGATTTCCATTTGATACATCCTTATTTTCCTCCTGATTGAGTGAAGTCCCCGGCCTTCCTGGTGGATCTTCGTGTTGTACATCTTGCCGCTTTCCGCCCGATGATTGTGAATTTGTCAGTGAATCCGTAGGCTCGGAGCTGGATGGTGTCTGCTGTGTTGTTGATACAGGCTGCAAAGGAGCTTCCAATGACACTTCCCTTGATGTGGAACCCTCAACGTTGTTCAGCTGTGTTTGCTCTGCGGAATGTTTTCCCGCTCCATCAGGCACCGTATGACCAGTGGGATTGCCGGTAATAACACCACCACTCTCAGAATTAACAAGTGGGCCGACATCAGGTAGCTGACCCTCAGTGCATCCGCCTCCGCCGGCACCGCACCACAGCACGCAGAGGGCACACACCAGCAGCACACGGCCAGACATCATCATCGCCATCACTCCTGTCACTTGCGTGTAGCCTTCAGCACAAACTAACGCCCCGTCAACGCAGAGTGAAAGGGAAAGGAGAAATACACGGCACAGTAAAAAACACCAGCATCAGCAGCAAAGCAACAAATGGAAGCAGCCCAGAAGCAGCAACATACCATGAGGCAGTTGGAATCAGTGGGAAGGCAAAAAACACACACAACGCCCCGCAGCAAGTAAACAAAAAAAAACACACGAAGCAACTAAAAAAAAAAAAACAGGTAAACAAACAGCAATAAAGTAAAAGCAATTAAAAACACACACAAAACAAGGAGCTGCACAGAATGGCTCCAGTGTGCAAGCATCCACATGCAAACATGCATCCACACGCAAACAGTTGTATGCGTGCCATGCATATATTGCGTCTGGGATGCGTTCAACGTGACGGATGTGCGGCACAACGCGGAGCACACAGCAGAGCAGCGAAAGCAAATGAAGCAAAACACAATCATCATTTTCTCTTATTTATTTACATCGGACAACAACACGCGCACAAATCCCCGTGGCTGAGTGCTGGCACGCAAAGCACGCACACACACCTCTTCAGCTCAGAGTGGTGTACGCCAGCGCGGATACGGCGAGCAGCAGCGGGGCACACACCCACGCAGAGCTGCTGCGGCTGCCGTCGATTTCGCGCAGACGTGACGATGCGCGGGTGGTCGTCGTGGTTGGCGTCTCTGTAGTCGTCGTAGTACGTGGTGCCTTTGTTGTAGTCGTCGTGGTCGTCGCGGCAGCATCTTCGGCCCCCTGATCTGCTTTGTCTGAAGAAGGATCCGTGGGACTTGGTGGCTGTGTCACACCGTTCGTACCCTTTGTCTGTACTGCACTGGAAACTTCATTTGATTGCTTTTCCGGACCGGTAGAGCCTGGTGTAACTGGCGCATTATTTTCTGATTTTCCCGCAGTGGCCCCCGTGCCTGGCGACCCTGACTCACCTTCCACCCGTGGTCCTGACTCTGAATTAGAAGAACGACTACTGACGCTTCCATCAGCGTCACCCGGCTCGTCAGTGGTTGGTAGCTGTGTTGTCCTGTTCGTCGTCTTCCTCGAATCATCAACATTCTCCGGAGACTCTGAGGTGCACACGGACGGGCAGCAGCACAGGGCGAGCACCAACAGGGCGCACAGCAGACGGCACATCATCATCGTGAGTGTGGTCGTTCAGTGGTGTGGAGCTGATCTGCACAGTGAGGGACATGGAGAGCAACAGGGGAAACGAGAGGTGCGGCAGACACACACACAGAGGGCACACCACATGAGGAGAGGGCAGCAGTCAGGCATGCACCGTACGCCGCACACCACGCACGACACACACTCCAATCCACGGCAACAGGCACACACACACACACAGCCCTGCCGCAACACCAACACACAGATGGAAGAGGGAGAAGCAAACAGGAGCGGCACACAAGGCTCCACCGCACGCACATACGGCGAGAGCGGTCCGTCGTGTCGGCACCCCTCACGGAGTGTACGCACACACACAAGAGGAGGTGCAGCGCACAAAGCAACACAAAAGCAAAGTAAAAATAAAAAAAGGAATGATCCCCGCACACCACGTGGATTGTTGGTCCACGGGAAGTGCAGCCAATATTCATCACAAGAACAATTCAGTTGCCTTTTGGCCTTACTTCACATTCAGCGCACACAACTACATGCAGGCCTGGGCACCACCACTGCAGCCGCGCACGCATAAGTGACAATAAGAAGCAAAACAGGGGATGGTGGTGTGGGACACCTCGGTGCTGCTGTCGCTGTCGGCGGTGGTCGTTGTTACTTTTTCATTGTTGGTGACTGATGTTGTTGTTAATTCTTCCGGTTGTTTGACTGAGAGTGATGTGGAAAGACAACTGGTGCCTTGACACTCCGTCAATGCCTTCCCTGTCCCGTCGATTTCTGTGCTCGCCGGTGGTGTGGGTGGGTCGCTGGGGTAGGCGAGACGCTGACAGGGCTTCCAGCACCATCTGACTGAGCTTGGTCTGCCGTGTTCTCGTCCCCAGTCCCACTGCACCAGCTGCTGGGGGCGGTGCAGCAGTCATGCCAGAAGCACCAGCAATGGGCTGGGGTGTCGGCCGCATCATCAATGGGTGTGTGCCCGCAAGCGATAGGAACATGCATCGACGAGGGAGTCTGCACCGAAGCTCGGGGATGGGGAAACAGTGGCGCCAAACGGAACAGTGCATTTCACCTTGGAAAATCCGCAAGGCGTATTGGCGCGGACTGCGTTGCTGCCGTGGCAAAGGAAATGAATGGCGGTGCTGGTGGCGTTCTCGTCGTGCGTCCCCTCCTGCAAATCCTCGCAGTAAACCCATTGCCTGAGTACATTTGGTTCCACCTGAGAGACCAATTCAATAATGTTCTTTCCTCTAAACGTATTGTACTAGCATTTGTTCACAGTCGCCGGCAACGCCTCCAGCAGATCCACCTGCGATGCACGGTCAACACATTCCACATCCACTCGTCGTGCACCATCCAACACCATCTTTTCCTTGGAGCTATGAACAACACCGGGCACACACTCCTTTTCGGCCGTCCACGGCATGCGCCTGCGGTGAGAATCCAAAGAAATTCCCATTCCTTTTGTGCACAAAGTCATGGAGCTGACGCCGTTAAGCGCGTCCCGGCGAGGGCAACAACAGCCCGCCGCAGCACTCACGAATGCCCACCCGTTGCCTCCTGTGCAAAAAAAAAGTGATCATGGAGGGAAAAGCGTGCACAAATGCCCTGGCAAGAAAGGTCAGCATCAGTGGATGAACACTGAAGCCGTGGGTGCATGCTCCACAAATGTCCTTCCTTTTTTATCCGCCTTCTTAGTTGCATGGAAATGACTTGCAACCGCACACGCAAGAAAACAAAAGCAAAAGGCGAGCAGCGCGGCCGTTGAAACACACACACACGTATCGTATAAAACGCTTCTTGGAGGGGAACTGAATGCGGGAAGAAGCGCACACAATCCCCATGGACACCCGCAATCGTGTGTGTTTGTGTATTTCCCACTCTTTGGCCCTCGATGCATTCCTGTGCGTGCCTCGCCCGTGAGTCCCACTGCCGTGGGGTGCCAAGTCCCTGCAAAAACACACCTCAGGACGCAGCATCGAGGTTTCCCAATGAACACCTCACGGCTATACCCTTTGGATATCTCATGGACCGAGCGCCTCTCGCTGCAGGCCACACCACCCAAAACAAGCAGCACAATGCGCTGAGGAGTTGTGAGGGCAATCGTCCCAACACCGCCACCGCCACCCAGAACAGGATGATTCTCCCCTTTGCCACCACACCCTTGAAATGGCCCGGCGTTATTCCCTGCTTCTCCGCTGTTTTGGCCACCACTCGCGCCATTTGTCCTCATCACATGATCGCCCTCCATCGATGCCAACGACAGCCCAACCCGCAGCGTCCTATTCCTGTCCGCCGTCTCCACAAGCATACAGGCATGCTTCAGAAACGGATCCTCGTCCGTCGCGGCGTTGCTCGCAGAGGCACTCGTGCTCCGTTCGCTCTGCGCCGACGCCGTGCTGTATCGTTGCACGCTCCCGGCCCTCCTCGTCACATGCTCAAGGTTCGCAAGCAAATGGGCGTCGGGCGTCAGTCTACCGTCTCGGATCAGCTGCTGCCTCTTGACCTCCGTCAACTCGTCGGTGCTGCTCGCAGTCGCATGCAACAGGAGAAGACGCAGACGCACTGGCCGGGGCATCGCGGCATCCCTCGTCAGTTGCTGCACGCCATCCAGGTTTTTCCTGAAGGGTTTGAGCCCAACGGCGATGTCTTGTTCCACCTCCCACACCTCCGCCAGCCGCTTCTCCCGGTACTGTGCCACAAGCCTCGCGCAAAAATCGGTGTGCAGCGACAGTCTGGCTTGCCTCTCCCAAAACTCCGGCGGAGCCCGCACCGCACTGCCCAACTCCGCAAGATTGGCCTTCGGCTCCACGCCCTGCGCCAATCCCGGGTGATACGCGTGGAGTTTTTTCAGCTCCACCGAAGGCTCCTCCACGCACTGCGCAAGGAAACAATGACGGTAGGAGCACCAGTACACATCTTCCCCATCAATTACTGCCGCTTCGAGTCCGCCCCAGACGATTACTACAGGTCTGCTCATACACCTTCTTCCCCAGCGGCATCAGGTCATCAAGCAGACACTGACATGTGCGTTGGTGCATCAGCGGCGTCACCGTGACACAGCCCCAATCAACGATGATCCGAACCGGGTTGCCGCAACTGTCGGCGCCCCTAAGTGAAATCCTGTTCGTCGTGGCAATGCCTGGCGAGCCCCTCAAAAAAGGTCCCGGCAAGCCCATGGCAGATGCTGCCTCTCTTTTGGTAGCGAATGACAGGCACACCGTTGTTCATGGCGTGAAAAGCCGCCACAAGACGTGACGCCGCAACATCCACAACGGACTCTCAATTCGGGGGCGACAGCGGCGACAGCAGCTGAGGGAACCCATTCTGCATGCTGAGGTGGAACACCAGCACCTCAGGGGCAGCAAAGTCTAACACCATTTCCTTGAAACGCATCGCCCTCGGCGCTATCTGAGCCCGCGCGAGTTGCTGAAGGCGGCAATGCGGGGTTCATCCCAGCGCAAAGACGTGTACATCCCTGTAAGGAACCTTTGCCATCCAATCCTCAACCACGCGGCTCACAGACGCATCCTCCACGGAAAAAAAGTAGAGCGCAGGGCTACTCATAATCGGCTGCTGCGGCGTCATGGGGTCCTCGAGTAGCGTCACGCCGTGCTCCATGAGACCATGGGGACGCAGTGAGCAGCTCAGCACAGACGCAGCATGGGCATCGCAGAAAAAAACTTTAAACTATCCATGAACGGCGTCAAGCATCTGATGGAATATATAATCCCGCACACAACCACGAACGCCATTGCTGGGCTCACGCGGCTGCCCGCTTCCTTCAGCCTTGACCGCACCAACACGCCACGCATAATATGTCAAGTACAAGTCACACAGAAAATGTGATTGGATATGCGTGTGTGTCTTGTGTGCGCACATTTCACTCGCACCGGTGTGTGTATTTGCGTCTCAGAAAATCTAACAAACACACAAGCAATGCCATACGACCATCTGGTGCCCCCAACATCGGCAACCAACACAAGAAGAGCTGTGTGCATCGTAAATACCACCAATTTCAAACACAAAAACGGGGCGGACACAGCACATGCATATGGAGAAAGGGACCCATTGAAATGAATATTTTCCTATTGGACGTACAATGCTGAGTGCAGGCCACGCAGGAGGAAGCGCAGTCGCCTCGCAGCGCAACGCCGACCACACCTCAACTCGATGGAGTGTTACCACGGCGGCAGCAGAGGCAAGCAGAAGCAGCGGACAGGGACAAGCAGCAGCAACAGTGTCATCACCGGGAGTCGGAGACGTGTCCTGCCTGCCGTCCGTCTCGCTGCTTCGATCCCTGCCACCGAGAGAAGCTTCTTGCGGTATTTCGGGGCATCCTGGCTGGATCCACTTCTCCTCTGGCAACGGATGCTTCTGAGGAGCAGCAAAGTCGACATCCTTCGGTGGTTTTCCACGGCCGGTCTCAATGCTCTCCGCAACGGGGACAGATGCCCCTGGTAATCCTTGTTCAGTAGATGCCGGTGAAACCGTCCTGCTCCACACCCTCTCTCCTCGCCGTCCCACGGAACCACTGGAAGTAGGCTACCGCTGTTGGCAGATATCGTGCACACCTGCGCGTGGTCACGGCAAATAACGTTTCCCCCATCGTAGGGTCGAGTGGCCCACGCAATCGTCGCCCCGTCCGTGCATGGGACACAACGGACGTTACCCTCTTCAGTCACTTCCAGATGCACCTGCATGCCGAGGCACCTCAATGCCGCATGCAAGGCAGCACTGAGATGTGTCTCCTCCAGATTCCTCGCATCCGTCGTGTTGTTGGGAAGCGTGTCCAGACACCACGAAGAGGGCTCATCCCCAGGCATCGCAGACAAATATTCTCCTCTCCAAATAACACCCTCAATATCCCTCACATCCAGTACGGGATCAGTGATGGGACAACTGTCCATCGGGCGTTTTGTTGACATTTCATGGATACTCCGTCTGCACACCAACCACTGGAATAACGATCCAACGCGCAGCATCTGGCAGAAACGCCCAATGCGCAGAGCATGTGGGAATATTCACTCATGTTCAGTGCGGAGCACTTCCTCTGCAGCAGCTCACACACAATCGGTGCTATCCACTCATTCCTCGCTTGGCGCTGCGACCAGTGCGACTCCAGCGTCCTCCCGTCATCATCGTCATCCTGCAGTTCCATGCCATCAGTGTCGCCGCAATATTGGTGCTCCCTCGCAGCCATCGCGGCATTCGCTGAGTCCACCACCACCAACAGAGCCCTGCCACGCACACCGGCAACATGCCTCACCATGCTGCGGCTGGCCATGTGCGGGCAGTTGAACCCGACAGCATGGACCAACAGGTGCGTGCCGATGCGGGTGGCGATGCATCCGTGAAATAAAACGGCCGAGCAAAGTGCATGGCGCCAGCGACTGGACGGCCATCCTCCAGCGTGACGCACCGCAGTGCCCACACACCACCCGGCGCCGCAGCCACACACTGCACCATGACAGAATCGGCAACACCAGTGGAACGATGCCCATCAGTCACCGTGAACCAACTGCAAACGCTGCCCGTGGCAAATGGGGACACAATCAACGGACCCTCCAGTGGCTGGACGAGCAGACGATCCGCATGCAGTTACACAGCAGCAGAAACAGTCTCCTCGGCAAGGATGTTAACGTGCGCAGAGGATAGAACACTAGCCTCACAGTCAAACGCGCCGTCCAAAGAATTTACTGCGCAACGCCAAAAGAAGCCGCAGTGCCCTCCTGCTGTCATCCAAGTCCCTTGTTGACAAATTGATGCGGACTGCCACTCGTCGGTCCTTCCCAAAGCCGCTGTCCACCCGCGACGCATCCTGCGCTCTGAGAGGCATGTCCCTCACCGTCAGGAGAATCAACCACACGCCGTCGGACGTATCGTAGCGTCAAAAGAAAAAGGATACGTCAAGGTGAAACAAAAGCACCAACTGGCAAATCACATCACAAACATCGTCACAAGCAGAAGAAACAGCGCTGCTGGCCGCGGGCAACGTGGATAAAATGGCTCATGGCACACGCGGAAAGAAACACTGAGTGGCTTGGCAAGGTTACGAGAGTCTGACACCTTCCTCAGCAACAAGAAAAACAATATGGGAATAACAAGGGAGGATTAAAGTGATCGCAGTCAAAGCAACCCACCAATTCAAAAAAACTGGAATGGGTGCTCTCAACCAAAACACAAGTAAAAAAAAAAAAAAAAGCCAAAGCGTGGGATGACCAGCGCACACACTCTCATTGCTCCCGTAAAGCAAAACACACACACACAGGGAGAGAGAGAGAGAGAGGTCGCCCACTCAATGCAATAAAAACAAAACAGAAACAGTTACGGTGCTCCGCCCATGCAGCCAGGCAGGACGGCAGCGGTGCGTGTCGTGCAAAAGAGAGCACCAACGGGCATGCATGGGTGTGCATGCATATATACAATGGGCACATTATCGTGTGTGCATCGTGGAGTGAGGGCGAGAGTCCATGCAAGGGGAAACACACAAAGAGAGAGAAGGACGAGTGTGTGTGCGGGCGGTGCACGGCTCTCTCTCCCTCACTCTCACGCGGTCACCACCGCAGCAGCAGCCGCACACGCAAAAAAAAGAAGAAGCAGAAGAGGGGAGGTGGTGTGGGAGACCGCGGTGCTGCCGTCACTGTCGCCAGTCGTCGCCGTTGTGGTTTTTATTACGGTGGATTCGGCTGGTGTTTCCTTCGGATTGACTTCTTTATTTTCATTTTGTTTTTCTTCTCGTGTCACTGCACCATCAGCTGCTGGATCATTGTTCGGGATGCCGTCCTCAGTGGTCTTGTCGGCTTCATGATTGGCGGCATCACCGTTTGCCGTGGGTGATGGTGGCCTTGATCCTGCATGGTCGGCAGATGGTTCATTGTGCTGATCGGCTGTGATTGTAACAACGCTCTTTGTTTGTGAATTGTTGTTTGGTTCCATTTCACTTTGGGGTTTTTGTAGCTGTTGCTTAGTCACGGTATCTCCAGGGCTGGAATGTTCATCCACTCGTGTTGTTGGTAGTGTTGTTGGTGTTGGTAGTTGTATTTCTTTCTGTTTCGCTTGACTGTCATTTGTCTCCGTGAGTGCCATATTACTTTTGCCTTTTTCTGGTTCTTCGTCTGATAGTTTTGTTAATTCCGTTTCACCTGCATCTTCTTGTTTCGGTGCGTCATTGGAGGATTCATTACTCTCGGAAGTATCCTCCAAAGCGAGTTCCACGTCACTCTGAGTGCCAGGGCCGCCAGATGCTGATGAAGTGGATTGTTCAGTTTTTGGTTTTTGAGGACCAGGTTCACTTCGACTCTTATCATCTGCTTCATTTCCTTTTGTACCCAACTCTTCTTGTTTTCCCTCCTCTCCTGTATTTCTTCCTCCGGGGTTCTGCAGTGGTGCCGCTGCTGGTGGTGGTGGTGGATCTGCGACAACACCTCCTGAGACAAGCGCTGCATCGCCCTCCGTATCATCGCTCAATGTCTTATCCTGCAATGATTCCTTCGACTTCTGAGATGAACCGGCATCACCGCTCAATCCTCCCTCATCCGCAGCTTCAACCGCATTTATTAATGCCATTCGAGTGGATAACAACCCGCAGTCCGCCTTTAGAGACACGCCGCCATTTCCTCCATTACTTTTGTGCATTAAACCGTTCCCACCACCCTCACTGCAGTAATCGTTCATCGCACGCCCAAAAACTGCACCGCACCACAGCACGCAGAGGGCACACACCAGCAGCACACGGCCAGTCATCATCATCGCCATCACTCCTGTCACTTGCGTGCAGCCTTCAGCACAAACTAACACCCCGTCAACGCAGAGCAAAAGCAAAAAGAAACAAGTCACACAGCCACGCCACAGCAACCGCACAGTGACAAATGGCAGCAGCAACACACCAGGAGGCAGTTGGAATCAGTGGGAGGACAAAAAAAGGCAAATGCACAGTCCTTCAGTAATTAATCAGCAAGAGAAAAAGAAAAACAAAACAATTAAAAACACAAGTAAAAAAGAAACAAAAAACTTTAATAAAAGGGGCTGCACAGTATGGCGCCAGTTTGCATGCATCCACACGCAAACATGCGTCCACGTAAAAATTTGTATGCGTGTCGTGCGTATGAGTGTGTCTGGGATGCGTTCAACGTGACGGATACAGGGAGCAGCAACACGGAGCACACAGCAGGGCAACGGAAGCAAGTGAAGCAAAACACAATAATTATTTTCTCTTATTTATTTACATCGGACAACAGTAGACGCACACAAATCCCCGCGGTTGAGTGCTGGCACGCACAGCCCGCATACACCTCTTCAGCCCACAGTGGTGTGCGCCAGCGCGGATGCGGCGAGCAGCAGCGGGGCACACACCCACGCAGAGCTGCTGAGGCTGCCGTCGCTTTCGCGGAGAAGAGACGGTGTGCGGGTGGTCGTCGTGGTTGGCGCCTCTGTAGTTTTCGTCGTGGTGGTTGGTGCCTTTGTGGTTGTGGTCGTCGTGGTCGTTGATGCAGTCGTATTCTTCTCTTCTTTTTTTTCGGGTACAATCAGCCCACTTTGTTCCCCTGACGCAACGGTTGGTACAGTAGGTGGCCGTAGCGGAACGCCAGGAGTTTGTAACGTGGACTGACCGGACACACCTGAAGCACCTTGACTGTTGGACGACCCACCGGATACCATACCTTGTGTGTTTTCCATACCGGCCGCAATAACTGGCTTCTCTACTCTTTCGCTTTGTTCCACTCCCTTCTCAACTGGTTCCTGTACCCCTGGTACCTTTGGCACAGCGGGGACCGCACTGGGGTCATCATTAATTTCACTTACTGCCACGCACACGGAAGGGCAGCAGCACAGGGCGAGCACCAACAGGGTGCAGAGCAGACGGCACGTCATCATCGTGAGTGTGGTCGTTCAGTGGTGTGGAGCTGATCTGCACAGTGAGGGACATGGAGAGCAACAGGGGAGACGAGAGGTGCGGCAGACACACACAGAGGGCACACCATATGAGGAGAGGGCAGCAGCCAGGCATGCACCGTACGCCGCACACCACGCACAACACACACTCCAATCCACGGCAGCAGGCACACACACACAAACCTGCACTCTGTAATACTTGTGTTGTACAATTGTTGTGGTCAGTTTATGCGGTCACACACAAAAGGAGTGAGAAAAGAGGAGACCACTACGGCTAGACATCAGACTGTAGGCTACCAGAGGGACGAAAAAAGGCAAGAGGGCCGCGCCGCGTCGGCAGTCGGTGCGTCACTTGCCTGCAGACCAGGCGTCGTGCGCGATTGTTGTCGCTCATTGTGACGCATCCGTCCTCGTAGCCCCAGAGGGTGGAACATCCAACGCCAACCCAAACACAGCTGTCAACACGCCATTGCCACAATCGTGAAGAGCCGGCTGGCACCACACACGGCAAGAGGGACACGCCAAGACACGCCATGCACCAAAGGGGCGCATCAAGCCCGCAAACAGTGCGCACCGCTGCAACACCGCAGGGCCCTCCCGCACGCACGCACCATCCTCCTCCTTCCTTCTCTTCGGCTCATTGCCGCCACATCCGGCACCTGCTCCTCACAATACCAGAAGGAAACACAAAACAGCTGAAGCAGCAACAACAACAAAACTGCCACCTTGTTGCGCTGACGCCACTGCACGAAAGGGTGCGCCGACGACGGGAGCCCATCGCGCAGGAGACGGAAAAGAGCTCAGCAAGACACCCAAGAGCCACACGTTGGCAGTCTTGTCGGGGCTGTCCCAACGCAACTACAACAAGTAGTGCCGCAACCACGGAGCCATGCACCCTGACCCACGGCGTGTTTTCACAATCAGAACAGCAGGGACAGAAGGAAGTAAGACACACTACCCACAGTGCAGCAGAGCACCCGAGAAATACACACAGTCAATCAAAAACGGATGCAAAAAGCCGGGAAGGCAGAAAAATAAAAAAGGCGCATGCAGATTGAAAGCCGAAGCACAGAAATTATTCGAGGTCCAC